ACGGGAGGGATTTGAAAGGGGTTACTCCATCCACTCATCTAGGGAGCATTCTCTCAACTACAGGAAGTTGGAAGTATGAGGATGTCAAATCGAGCGAAAATCGGGAAGGCGTGAAACACATTCATCAACCTGAAACCAATCTGGAAATCTTCGTCACTCAGCATCAACAACAAAATTCGGTCGGATTTTCAGTACAAACAACGTCAAGTCAGTCAGCTCTTCTTTCTATACGGATCAGAAACTAGGCGGGCGGGTCACAAAGAATATTTCTAACAGCCTTTTGCGGAACTTTACCAACAACTGTCTACGCTGGCTCTATACTGAAGATCAGATGGCCAGGCTGGAAAGAATCACCAACAAGAAACTATGAGCACTAACAAACAAAACAAGAACCAATCGCCCAAGAAATATTTAGGAGAAAGTGGAGATGGATTGGACACTCGCTGAGGAGGCCGGTTGGTGACATCGCGCGCGCGTCAGGCCATAGCTCGAGTGGAACCAGTCCGAAAGGGAAGCGGTGAGTGGGACGTCATTCCAAGGGTGATATGGATGAGATCGTGTGAAGAGGAGTGGATGCAGGTAAAAAGCACAGCAGAAGACAGAAGCAAGTGGAGACGTGCAGTTGAAGCCCTATGTTTCACTAGGAACCCGAAGGGAACATTAATAATAATAGTAATCAGCTGAAATGGCATACTTAAAGTGACAAAATCGTTCACATAACATTCACTATTAGGGTGAATAATGTTCATTATAAGCAGTATTCACTGGCATCCAGTACAAGGTAATTTGTTGTCAATCAGGACTAGTTTTCTTTGAATTAAATCTTCTGAAAATTGTATCGTTAAACATTTCTACTGTTATATTCCAATGCGTCTTAATGCTCACATGAATATTTCAAGTCATATGCTGATGATTTCTGAATTGAATAATTTATAGTCGTCTGATTCTTCAGGTAGAGCAACACAATATTATCGAAGTATAACTACTATTATGCTAAATTTATCCATAATAAATTATGGATGTTCAACTGTATAACCTAAAGACGTACGCAGAAATAATATTTGTATTTATTGACAGTTATTTCAAATTTCACTCGAAGTTTGCTAGTAGTTTAAAGAAATACTGAATTATATTTCGATGTCACTTGTTTTAATCTTCAATGAGGAAAATGAATAATGTCTGTCATATTTTGTGTCAAATCAAACATCCCAGTATTGAAAAAATATGAGAAATAAGCACCCGTTTAGTTATCCTTATTTTGGAGTAATGAACGATTCGATTGTTCCTTCTTTAAGTAACGTGTTGTTTTATACTTTCTAATCATTTTAATAGAATTCAATAGTATTTTCAACTTTCAAAGTCAACGGTAGATTTTATTACATAAAAATAATATTACGCTAAAACATGTTTTAACTTTTGCATTCAATGCTCATTTTATCCGTGTAAGTCTTTGGTTAAAAATGTCTTTGATTATTGCTGCTCGCTAGACTTTCTATATGTAAATAATGAGCAGGTTCCCAGAAATTCGGTATATGCATGAATTTATTGATTTCAATGTAAATTTCGTCTGAAACCGAAATGAGTTGGAAAATCATTGGAAAGGATAGAGCTTAGGACAGCTTTATCAACCATAAGGTATTTAACTCAGGTTGTGTGTGCTGTTCAGTCATTCATGCTATACGGAATTTACTTACTGGTGAGTTTTACATTCTACTGTGTCAGTTAGACTGTGGAAGCTCATCCATGTCATTATTTGATGGAAGCACTACACAATGAATCGATGGAACTTGAAATTCAAGGACTGTTGTATTGTAATCAAAGTGTTTCAGTGGCCGAGGCATTAAACTCTTAACTAGATGGTCCTAAGGTTGACGAAGAAAGAAGGCTTTGGAAGGTATCACAAAAGTCCGAAAATAGGAGGAAAGATTTCAGTTCTAAACGAGACCCAAACTAAATTAATCCACTATCTGACTGCTCCCAGTAAGCACTAATTGTGAGACTGTTTTATGAAACAGAATGAAAGTTGAAACAAAATACGCGTTTTAGAGTTATATGACCAAAATAATTTTGATATATACTCGGGATATGGAAATTATTAGCCAACCTAAATAATAGTGGAAAACACCAATATGGACATTAGAAAGAAGAGAACACGAAGTTCAGCAAAGATATCTTTTAAGCGATTTCATTTTCAAAAGCTGTACAATCGCAGCTAAATACGTAATTTTACATGGATACAATTTTTGTCTGATTCCACATAATTACGACGGTGAATAAAAAGTGATAATTATTTTCAACTATATATGGTTTACAAAAAGCTTAGAAACAAAATTACATAGGATTAGAACAGATAACAAGTGTGTAAAAAGTGAGCATGAAAACAAGATTGAAATAATAATTTTCTACTTGAAATGGAAATTAGGAGGTGTGAATATAGACTACAAGAGCCTTAGAAACACAAAAATCGCACAGGATTAAGATATAATTGTAAAAAAGTTATTTAAAATGAATTATAAATGTGAATAGGAAAAGCATGGAAACAAACTTAAAATAACTGCTTATTTTTCTATAACTGAAAAAATGGGGTGAATCGAATGAAGACAGAGGGAGTAAGAATTATACACACAGCGAACGAAAAAAATCAAAAAGAAAAAAGAAAACGAAAGAAGAAAAAACCGAGAAACATTCCGTACTAGGTCTATGGTAGTTGTAGAGGTTGGACTAATTTCTTTTGAACACACAGCTCCAGCTTCTCGATGCATATTGCTAGGGCTTCTGCAGTATAGAGAAGTCGGAAACACTGCTTTTAGTAGGTTTCTGTTGACTATGTAAACTACTTTGAAAGAATCAGTTGAGATGTTGTGGGAGGTGTTGACCAGATGTTCAATAATGACACTTGTGATTGAACCGGTGCCTCTTCTTTTCAGCCACGCTGGGTAATGTTCTATGGTACGTTTTGAAAGGATGCACACAAAACGACCTATGTATCTAGCTCCTGACGAGCAGGTGAACTGGTATACGCACATTTAATTGGTCATATGCGAGAGTTTGTTCTTCGCATTGTTTCGAAGTATTAAACAGCTAGAGAATTTCTTTCTTAATGTTGCTGTGGGGAAAATCTTCTTTAAAGAGCTGGATGTTCTCCTCTTCAGGATATCGGCTGACAAGTTTCCCCTGAAATTCAGATTCATTTACACGGTTTTCTTTGGCGCTGAATCACAATATTCTACGTTTGGTTTAGGTTTCATGTTTTTTTCTCGACCAATGTGCATATTTTCGAACAATCTGCATATACCAGTTCACCTGCTCGTCAGGAGCTAAATACATAGGTCGTTTTGTGTGCATCCTTTCAAAACGTGCCATAGAACATTACCCAGCGTGGCTGAAAAGAAGAGGCACCGGTTCAATCACAAGTGTCATTATTGAACATCTGGTCAACACCTCCCACAACATCTCAACTGATTCTTTCAAAGTAGTTTACATAGTCAACAGAAACCTACTAAAAGCAGTATGTTTCCGACTTCTCTATACTGCAGAAGCCCTCGCAATATTTCGATACTGACGTCTACTACATGTGTAAACCAGAAACAATACACATTTTAATACATGAATGTCTCTAATAGTCTTATGCATGAAGTACCTGGTAACAGTTAGAAAACCTGAGGAGTTGATAATGTCAACGAAACCTAATCAAAATATGCCTCAGGGGAGGAATAGTAATAGGGAAAAAGTGTTGATGATGCGATGTATAATAACACACAACACTAAATGAACCAAACCTTGTGATATTACGCGAAAATCATTCAGGTAAAAGAAGTAGAATAACTTTTATTTATTTTTTATTGTTAACTTCTTATCATTAAAAGATTAAGATCATCCGAGGAGGTGTTATCGAATGAATGCTTTTGTATGCATAGATCCGGCTTGACTATTTCCACAGATAAAGCCTTAACAATACGGAGGCACCAAGTGTGATAGGTTATTTAGACTCCTAGATAGCTCTAAAGTTGACTTGATTTTTGATTTAAAGCTTGACTCCACACTGTATTTTTGGTACAAGTATGGAGTTTTCAGCATGGATATCGGTAGCCCAAATTTTGCAGGCCGACCAGAGATATCAGGTGTATGTCGGCAGGGAATCGAACCTCGGACCATATGCATGGTCGGCGAGAGTCCTAACCACTGTGCCACCGACGCAAATAGCTGAGACATTGAATCGGACCTATAAAAACGTGCAGTCACTACTCTTCTCATATATCCAGTCCAACTCTCCTTGACGATGAAGGTTCTTGTGTTTTTCTAAACAATCCCACATAAGCAGTTGAATCATGTAATTTCCTGTCCTACATTTTGTTTTACTATGGTTTTTTCACAAACAGATGATAGGATAAGGCGAAAAATAAAATATATTTTAGCAGTTAAAGTGATAATGGCACTATATAGCCAAATATCGCATTATAGCGAATGAATAAACCTTCCACTGACTCAGACTTAAAATATTTCCACTTAATACACATGTATGAAATTCTTTTAGCTTTAAGAAAACTAACGCTTCTTGTTACAGGATTTCATCATGAGCTGACATTAGTTAACTAACTTATATCAGCTCATGATGAAATCCTGTAACCAATCAAAGCCGTACAAAGCAACACTTGAATAACTCTTTTTGTGTTCCAAAAAGTGATGCAGTTTCCTTATCGTAACTTTTAAAAAACGAAGTTGTTATTTGATTAAGTGATGTCGTGTCTAGTAAATGTGTCTAGAAAAGATTTTTACTTTTTTGTTCACGCCTTTAATAATCTGTCTATGATGACGTTCCTACTTTCGGAAATCATTTTTCATCATACTCTTTGGGGATAATATTCATCTTCAAATGACCAGTTTAGCAGACAGAGAATATTCTTTTCAATTATCTTCATTTCAGTATTCAAAGAGATATAGCCTTGTCAGCCACAGAATGATTGATATCCGCAACATTAATGTGTTTTTGTTTTGTTCACCAAAATCGACTGATCTACCATTATACCATTTCAATGACTAACTTATTATTTTTGTGCAGAAAATGAATCCATTAGAAAAACAAATTGTATTATAAAAGCTTTCTTTAAATTTATGTGATGTGCAAAATTCCAGTCGATGACATTCTCCCATTTGTTAATTATAAAATATTAAAGAAAATAGAAACGATAAAAATGACGATAACGGTAATTAGTAAAAAGCATGAACGAAGGAGCTGCAAAAAGCATACCAAGTTTATTCGTTATTATTTTTTGTATTTCCATCCCATAATTAATTAATTGATTAATTAATTGAAGGGAAATACAAATTTCTTCAGTGAATAAATATTTCTTCTCACTGGCTTTCTGTTCAAATTGTTTATACGTATCTATAATGTGGCAAAAAGGTACTGAAAATTCTGCTGTCGATAAACATATGAGAAGAATAAAGATCTCCAACCTGATTTTAAAGAGGCTAGCGTTTTTCATGGATTAATTACCTAAAATGACTAAAGATTATTAAATAAGTGGATTGTTATTAAGAGATATAAAGTAGGTCAGGAGATTTTATAAATTAAAGTTGGGATGTTGACGATGATAATGATGATGATAACAATAGCGGAGGCAAAGATAAACTAGAGTAGAGTAAATCCACCCGTAGAAAAAAAAACAAAACAAACAAAGAACATTACCATGACGAAATTAAGAAAAGGAGTTTAACAAAATCTTTTTGAACATATAGTTAAGATTTTATTCCATATATAACTACTGGCTAAATTTATCCCGCTGGATAACTTTAAAGGATAAACCATGCAGGGCTGAATAACCTGACGCAGTTTGTTCACAGGCAGAACTTTTGTCACCTTGTGCTTGCCTTTCAAAAATCAAACCGTGTACTGTTAAGCTACGCGTTCGGTGTATTCAGCTCACAGGGGGATTCGAAACAGTACAGTTACACATTAGTGGATGTATGCGGTAATTTATCATTCACGTGTCATTGAATGATACTTCGCCTCAAGAATACCAGATTAAGTCATCTACACAGAAATTGCATCTTATAATTGGAGTCTTCTTTAGTACTGTGACTTGTCTAGTAGAGACTAGTTTCTTCATATTTCCTTCATTAGAACTTATAGAATACCTACTATTTCAGGTTGTTATACGAAGGTTTTAAAGTACTTCATCAACCGTATTTTTGGAGGGAATATTCAGAACTCTGGAACATAGTTCATGGATAAGGTTTCTTTTTCTACTTAGTGTATCACCTTGCAAATTTGGCCATAGCTAAGTCTACCTTTTAATTTAATGTTTTATGGTTTGTGCATGAAATTAATATAATATCACTTTTTACCAATTGCTAATTGAAGGTAAGATTGAGGTATTCGTTAAAAATTAGTATTTTTAATTCGGTCACTCGGAAAAGGTAGTTCCGCTGGCCTGTCTATAAGGCACACATTGTTTCGTGCGGGAAAATGATACTACCCTATCATTCAACCTAAAGTGTTAACAGATTTGGATCCGGGACCTGCTGCCTGAAAGGGAAGCTTTTAAGCCATGGAATCATATCTCCATTAAAACTTGATATTTGTAGGACTATTTGTAGTTCAATATTTATCATTTAACAACTGATAAACCCACTATTTAGGAATGAAAGTATTTCTCATACACATCTGTAGAAATCAGAACCGTGTCGCAAAAAGTTGCTTTTCAGTGTTGGCAACATTTCTGGCTCCGTGTGTATTTATATCATTTTTTGATAACTGTGTCAAAAGAGAGATTAAGGTGATTGAAGTGTGTTTGTATAGCAGATTGAATGTACTTCTTGTTTCCAACAGGTCCCACTATTTACGATTTATTCATGGAACAGTTAGCTTTCGATGGGGTTTCCATTTGACCACTAAGTAACATATCTTACGGCAACAATAATAAAAACCAAAGGTGATGATACGATTAATCAGAATAAAAATCGTAAGAATATTTGTCAATGAAGAATCAGAAGCATGGTTACAATTAGTTTATTAATTTTGCATTTCACCCATTCTGGTCACCGTATCTCAACGATAACTGGATTTAAAGTTGTCTGCATGGTGAAAACTAACCTGTTAGAACGAATGCCTACTTCATCAATAATGCTGACATTTTAGCTATCAGAAGCGAAACTGTTAGTAAAAAACATGGAAAATACTGATTGAGTGGGTGACCCCTTGAAATACGTTAGGTTTACACAATGTGAATACTATTTGTTTTTGGTTAGGCGATTTATTTTGTAGGCATTCAAGACATTTTCAGCATTTCATCATGAGCTGACATCAGTTAGAGAACCACTGGAAAACCTGGGAGTACTGGACAGCTGTTTCGTCATAGTTTGGGACTCTTCATTAGTACTCACCCACCGGGATTCGAACCTAGGACCTTCCGGTTACAAGGCGAGCTAGCTCGTATACCATTAAGCCTATGGGACTCGATCCAGTGGCCAGTCCATGAATTCTAACTTCTGCCAATTCACGACATAGCGCAACCGCTAGCCAATGTCTTCGGCGAGTATTTGTCCTCACACCCGACCCGCTGCACCCTACTGCTCAGCTCATGATGAAATCCTGAAACCAATCAAATCCCTACAAACCAACACTTGAATACCAAGACATTTTCATTTTTCATTCCCAGTAAATCCAGTATAGTCATTTATGTATATGCGTTATTGTCGTATGAATAAATTTGAAATTAAAAAAAGTTTTTTCCATGTTTTAGTTATCCTTCGGGGGATTAATAAATTACACAAATAAGCTTCCAGACATACGTTCCTTCGGAGAGTTGATGAAAAACATTTAACAAAGGCATACAGTTTTGTTCAAGTGAATTCTTTTTGTTGTTGTTTTTTTGTATTATCTTACATGCCTTTCTATGAAAACTTAACTTACTCTTGCTCAACCTATATTTTAATTTCCTCCTTCTAAAATTGAATTTCCAGATTGTTAAATATTCAATAAAAAAAACTGTTTTCATATTTCTTTCTTTTCTGTTCTTTTGTGATGAACGTGTTTAGTTGAACAATATTTGTTTAAAAAAACAAACAGTCAGACAGTTTATTAGATTACTCTATAAAGTTGTAAGTCACCTGATAAGCTATTTCTAGACAAGATGTAAACGCATCTAAAGATATTTAGGTGACTACAGCGTTTCTATGTGATGTAATTTCCGTTAAGTCAGTAAGTTAAATATTATGTTTTTCATCGGTGTTACTTCAGCTTTACGCGATTTCATACACAATGAAGTCTAATAAAGATAAGCTTTATGTTAATTTAACTGACACTCATAAAAGTCTGTGTCATAATTAAGTGAAATACATTTTCTTTCACATTTACACTCATCCAGTGACGGCTTCATTCAGCGTACTAATACAGCAAAATGCGTTTTTATACAGTTTCCATGACGTCATCAGTGTTATTGTATAAGTGAGCACATTTAGTTTTCTAAGGATGATTATGGTTTAATGTAATCATAGTGTTTTATTTAGACTTTCAGTGTTCCGACTGTGGTGAGTTATGCGCTGTAGTCATTTTGACTTCTTTTTAGGTAAAAAAATTAATTTTAACTCCTTCTACCAAGATTAGGGAAAGTCCTGAATTCCAACTCTGGTGATGCGTGCGTACTGACGATAAGTCTCCAAAACTAGGATGAAAAACCGCTCTCCATTCCTTTATGGTTTTCAATGGTTCTCTTTTTTATTTCCTTCATGTTACCCATTGGAACATAGGGCTTCAAGCTAGTGGCTTGAAGTTTCTGTAGCAGTGTTTATTTTACAGGATGGGGTTGCTAGCCTCATGCCCAACCTTTCCTCTTTACTAGCATTATTTCTGGCTTGGCGAGGTAAAGGAGTGCGTCGGCCGGGGATCGGACCCCGCACCATGTGCATGGTTGACGAGCGTCCTAACCGCTATGCCACCGACACAGGGTTCTCTAGCGGATATTAGTCGTGGTCCAGTTCAAAACGAATCAGATCCCTAGAAACTAACTTTAATTAGTTGAAAATGTATATGTTTCTTCTGTCAACTTTCTTATAAATTTTTTCTGTAAACGTTAGGGATTTGAGATCTTCTTAAAATACACTGAATAGATAGAATCCAAAATATTATCTGTGGTTTAAGCCAGAAAACATCAATATATTACACAGTTATTAATTGAAAAACTTCTTTTTTTTTTCCTGCACGTTCCCAGTGGAACATAGGGCTCCAAGCTAGATGCCTGAAGTTTCTGTAGCAAAGGTGATTATTTTTACAGGATGGGGTTGCTAGCCTCATGCCAAACCTTTCCTCTTCACCAGTCTCACTAGTGGCTAAGCGAGGTAAAGGAGTGCGCCGGCCGGGGATCGAACCCCGTACCATGTGCATGGTCGGCGAGCGTCCTAACCGCTATGCCACCGACGGTCACACAGAATAGAAACTAAGCCCAAACTACTGTATAGTGAAATTACTTAAGGTATTCCTGGGTCAGTGGATCATTAAGGATTGAAAAGAAAGTGACGAAAATTCAAATGAAAATCTGGACGGTAACAGAATCCTAATAAGCAGGTAGACAACTGGACTAGTAACTCGGAGGCCGGTGGTTCGAGTCCTGTAGCGACGCGAGTTTCTGCTTTTCTTCTAGTAATCAACAAACTGATTTTTTAATAAAAAAAATACTGCTAGGAGATATTGTTCCCTTCCACAGTTGTGAAGTAATTTGTCTTCAAATGATGATTCTAAATTCAAACTTGCTTAAGAGGCTATTATTTGAGTTAATAAATCCCAACTTATGAACCCAGGAATTTAATCGTTCAGTGCACTGTCACATTTCTTTCATGCTTTTCCATACTGATTCTGTTGATAGTTCTCTTTCAACTACACTGAAAACATAAATGCATAAATATTCATCTTGTAATCAAAATGAACTTAAGTCTATACAAATTAGTTAAACGCACTTGGCTATATATGCATTTGAATATTTTAAATCACAAACAGTTTATGGGTACCAGTGGAAATTTCAAGTTATATAGCTTCATATATAAAATAATTTCTAGCACGTGCAATTATGGGGTGTAAAAGCTAACTTCTTCATTTAAATATTATAAAGTTAACTGAAGAAGCTAGAAATTACAAGTACATAATGATAAAAATGTCATTACTGTTTTTCATTAAAATTTTATTTGTACAGTGTCAGCAAAATAATTGTTCATTTTGTTTTGTAATTCTTCAAATCAATTAAAGATGACATTAAGCATACTATTACGCAAGTTCATCGTCGAATTTCTGAATACGCTCCATCCTGGTCTGACAGACATCAGAATAAAGCTACACACAGCCCGAAACTTGCTCATCTCATCGGTGCTGGACATGAAGTTGATGATAAATTGGTTTTTAAAACTATTCATTGTATTTCACACAAATTATTGCATCCTCTGCCAGCAGAACGTCTGCTTAAAGCAGAGACAATCGGATTTCACCCGAAAAAGCAAAGTCTGTGTTCAAAGCAAATTTGTACAGCCTCTTTCTTTACCGTGACCAACTTTACAATGTGTATTAAGTTTCAAAAACGATTTTCCCTTACCCTTGTAACTATCGTATGACTTTGTTATTTTATTATGATTACAATTCACATGTCCAATTCTTAGTTTTTCTGACTGGACTTTACTC